ACTTGACCATGCTGAACAGCAGCAACTACAGCAGCAGCATCAATAACGACGACGACGCTGTTAGTTTTGAAAATATTGCAGAAATGAGTGGGATTCTTATTTACTTGTGTTCTAACATGCGTTGGGTATGTATGCGGTCACTCGGGAGGTCATTACACGGACCGCGCTGCGGCTTCAGTATAGCAAGCACCCACACACCGTAATGCTAACATGGTAAATAGTAATTTCTATTATAGCATGTCCGCTATAATTTACTAACATGGCCTCTAGAGGGTGAGCTATCAACCCGATCACTCTATGTGCCGTATACTTCGTGTGGAAATTAGTAATTAATGAGTTGGGGAGTGTGCAGCACTTTAGTGTTATAGTGTGACATAACTACTAGCTCAGTTCAATGTGCCACGATGGCGCGCAGGATGGAGGTATGAGGCAAAAGCGGACGATGGCGACGGGGAGTCCATAGCGTAGCATAGGGTGTCCTGCATTGTAACACGCCATGTTTCCTTGCCCATCACGGCACTCGGTCTAGTGCGTATTCGATCGGATTTGGAATTTCTTTACACATCGTGTTGACATTTTATCAATGCTTGGAAATGAATAGATCATATCGGTAAATGAAATGTTAGTTCACGTCGTCGTATTATATCGCCTATATGTACCCGCTTGTATTCAATAGTGTCTGCTTTCCTACTGCTATAATTATCATAGTTAACCATAAGCTCCATTACGGCGCACACAAATTATATTTTCGCGTTGATATATAAATCTACGGATTAGTCGGTGTATTATCCGACCTCACACAGCGCAGGTAAATGCTGCGAGCGTGAATGAGGTTATTGTGCGGCGTGATTACTCAACCAGGTATATACGCGTGGATGAATTCTATCGGGGATTATATGTCGCGTGCTCCTGATTCTATACAAACATCGCTGTAACTACGGCTATAGCTCGGCCGATGATGACACAGCAAACTATAGGCGGCCTGACACACTACACGTCAAAATTCCTTCATCTCGTAACATGTCAGAGATTAAAAGCCATATTTCACTGATCGGATTTACAGCTGCTGCGCGGTGTTTTCGCGATGCAATCTAAATGCTAATCGATAATATAGAGCCGCTGTTCGCTTTATGTACGATGTTATGAAGACGGCAACACGGTCGAGAGGATGTGTAATAACTAATAAAATATATAACTTCGAACGTCAGTCTCCGATGCAGATAGATATAAACACTGATGCCCACCGGTTTTGTTCTGTCCGGTCGTCTGCGGTTCTTCATTCTATATTTCAACTATATTTCACTCTATATTTTGTGTCTACGTGATATCGTGCACCGCGTTTATCCGATTGTCGGTTTGTTGCAACGCTTGAAAAGCTGGCCATAATTGTCAGGAAGCTACCTCCCACGGTAGTATTTAGTCCGCGTGTTGACAAAACAGTGTCGTTGTTCGTAATTTCGGCAATCACACACATAAGGTACTATTGTGTACTAATAAAATAATAATGATATCAGGTAGTATACGAATCTATTTTCGGGGTTCGGGTCCCACCGTGGCCACTGCCGCTGTGTCCTTCAGCAATACAATACAAGGCGCTTTATCCCGAGTAACTTTGCTTAGTAGTTACTCAGTAGTTACTTCGACCGACACCTGCTGTAGTATAGAAATAGGTTTATCACGCCAGCGTCAGGTTCACAACCTCTCCCACATATATACATAACAGCGAGTAGCTCTGCCGGACAAGGCCTGCTTTAGAGAAACCAAAGCAACGCAGTTGCTGAAGCCCTTTGCAACACGGGAACCTATGGGAAACAACAACATGTAACTATAGCGCACACTGAAACGCCCCCTCCCCGCCCCGCCGCCGCCGCCGCCGCCGCCGCCGCCACGCCTGTGCACCTGTCGTAGGAACGAATTTCCACGGTAAACGGGGGCGTAGTTACAAATAAACATTTGTAAATGTGGAGAAACTGGGGTGGGGGGGGGGGCTAATCGATGGAACGCGACATTTTCAGGCCCCCGCGTGTGCGTAACGGACGCAGCGACGGGGCGGCCGCAGCGACGTAATGTGCAAATGCCGTGCGCTCGCTCGCTCGCTTGCTTATTCAACCGACTGATTAATCTAACAGCATATAAATGTGCTATATTCGTGCGCGTGGAGTTTTATTCGGGTTCTACTCGGGGGGGGGGGTATTTGTGCAGGTTTAAGTAGCGTGTGCGTAGCGGTTGGTATATGGGCGCGCGTGCTGCGCTAGGTGGAGCGTGTGGAACATGCTGTCACGCGCCAAGCCCGCCAGACTCTATATATAGGTGCTAACGAGTTAGATGCTGATGAATAGTGGCATTAGGCAAGTGTTGAAAGTATGAAAGTATCGACTCGTGTCTGTCTCTTCCTCTGAGATTCTACAGCCCACGTACCCCCCCCCCCACACACACACGCACACGCGCGCGCCATGCGCACGCGTATATGTACGTTTGCACATGCATACATGCCTATGCACACAGACGTACGAAGCGGCAGTGTCCAGTCATTTGGTAGCTTACTATCTGTAGCACATAACGATGGTGTGCCTAATAAAATCAATGTTGATGATGCGTGTTTCCGCTTCGTAGTTACGTCTCGTGTGACGACAACTAGGGTTCTATAGCCGCGGTGTTCAATATTTTCATTGTTAAGGGTAACGTATTTTAGTACATAGTCTATACAGGGGTAGAAATAAGGAGAAAAAAAATAGATGGTCCATCTAGTTTGAAATTTAGATGTTCCTCTTAAATTTTAGATGGTCCTCCTAAATTTCAAATTGTTCTCTAAAAGTAATGCGGCGTGCAAGAAATTTACCGTAAAATGGGACCAAAATATTCAATAGTCCGTCGGACCATTGACTTTGAAAATCTGATGGTCCTCCTGATTATTTGATGGCCCCGGACCATCGGGCCATCTCTTATTTCGACCCCTGTCTATATATATAGTTGTATAAGTTGTTGAGTGTGTGTGTACTCTTATAACTAGAGAACTACGCAGCCTAGAGGAAAACTGAAGATATATTCAGAATCAGCACGTCTCGGAGGTGGTTCTGGCTGAAACAAAAATTTTAAATGTTTCTACGCATAACGCCCAAGTGGTCAAATGGATAAGCCATCGGTTTCCTAAACCGGGCATTTTGGGTTTGAGTCCTACCTGGGGGAATCTTTTGTTTCTTTACTTTTTGACTGTTTAGTATGTACTTCTGCCACTTCACCGTTAATTTCAAAATTTTACAAATGTTACTACATTTAAGAGTTTAGTAAAAATCCAGAATAAACTATGGTAGATGATAATAATAGCTCAAATTGACGGGAAGACTTCACGGAAGCCTATGTAGGTTACAGATTAAATATATTTTTATTATTTTTCTATGGTGGGCTGAAATTCACCAAATAAAATATAAAAAACGTAACAAATTTATATATATCAAGTTGTTCCATATAAAAACCATATAAGAACCATATAACCATATAACAACCAAGGGCGTGATGCTACGAGAAAAGTGAATATTATATATCTGATTTTACCATGCACACGTGCTGGCAGCCTGCCTGGCTCCACTTTGACCGTATAAAAATAGCCGAAGAAAATTATCTTAGCAGTCAACGGCGACCGATGTCCGAGGCCCAATTCCCCATCTAATACATATTTGTCAATGTGTGTCTGTTCTCGATGCAAATCTATACGTAGCACTCTAGAAATGTCAAAGATGTTCAGTAGGGGTACATCATCGTGCTGAATGTCATGGGCACATTCGATTTGACCTCCGAGGTCATCTAAGCCAAAAAACGGAAAAATATACTGGCCCCTGCAACAGCATTATATAAAGCCCCCCCCCCCCTGCAGCAACACTAAATAGACGGGCCCCTGAAGCAGCACTAAATAAACGGGATTCACTTTGCACTGACTTGCATTACTG